ATGGCATTTAATGTGGTGGGTGCTGGAAGGCCATCATTTGTCCATGAACCTCTTGATGCCCATATCTGTATGGAGGTCTCTCTTTTTTAGATCTACAACTAGATCTACAGCATGTATGCATTATTTGGCATTTTCATCTGAAAACATTGCCATATTTTTCTTATCCATACTTCTCACACCATTTTTTCACAGTAGTGTTAGAGAAGTAGGTTCAGGCCAGGCAGCCCTACCTCAATCAAATTTTGTGAGTGATTATCTCACTAGAGACAACACAAAGACTATCCTACCATGTGTAAGCATAGTCAGACAAAAGAATGTGGTAGCACCATGAAGACTTTTATGTTCGAATGTAGGCTTTTGTAGATTAATCTGCTTCATTACATATTTTAGATGAAGTATGCATGAAGGCTTATGTTGAAATACAAAAGTAACTCCTTTAAGGTGTTACTGATCTTCTGCCTCAAGCAGTAGGTTTTGGGATATCATGAAAAGCAGCAAATTTGTGACCATTTGATTTATAATTCCTATATTACGTTTTTTTTTTTAAATTGTCAAGGGTACAAAGAGACATGGGATTTCCCTGCTGGATTTTCTGAAATAAGTAGACTGCTGCTGAGTACTTGCTCAGAGTAAGTACTGTGCTTTGTTGCTCTGCCTCAGGCAGCAAATTGTCTTGGGTTGGTTGTGGACTTGGCTGTTGTTTAGTGTAGTAAGTAGGTGCACTGAATCATTGGAGATCCGGTGGGTCATCTCCTCCATAGGTTCCATTGACCCAAATAGGTCTACAGTTGTAACTCCCTGTGCTAAACAGCATGATTTCAGTTGAACGCCAAATCTCTTGCTTCCCGCCTTGTGTGTTTGTGTATGAGGGAAAGATTTACCACAAACCCTCCCAGAGACCATATTTATGAACAGAAATGTTGGAAATATTCTTTTTGCCACACAGAAAAGCCACCTGTTTCCCGTGTTTAAGTGTCGCGTGGAAGACAAATACAAAATTATGGTGAGGAAGGCTAATATCCGTTGCTCGACCTGAGTGAAAACTGACCTGGTCAAGTCCCGCCACGAGGGAGGGGCGGGGCCAGAAAAAGAAACTGGCTAATCGATTCTTTTACGTCACAGCAACACACACATATATATACCCACACCCTGCAGCGCCTCGCTCACTTCTCAGCGTGGCTTCGGCGGAATCAGCAGGATGGTGCGTGGGAAGCGGTCGCAGGGCAATCCTGAGGCGGCCGAAGCTTCCACCGCGGCTGCCCTTGAGCCTGCGAAGAAGGGAAAGAACCGCTCCTCGGGTTCTCTTTCCCAGCTTATTCTTCAGGCCTTCGAGACCGGGCTTCCGCGGAAGGGGCTGACTTTGGCGGCCCTCAAGAAGTCCCTCACGGAAGCGGGCTTCAACGTCAACAAGAACAACAGCCGCCTCAAGAGGGAGCTCCGCACCTTGGTTTCTAACGGGCTCCTGGTCCGCGTCACCGGCAGCGGCGTGTCGGGCACGTTCAAGCGAGGCCGCGGTCGGGCGGCCAGAAAACCCACCAAGTCGGAAAAACGCAAAGCGAGAAAAGCCACGGCCGCCCAAAGAGCGTCTGCCAAGAACCATAAGCCGAAAAAGCCCAGAAAGAAACAGCCGGCCGTAACTAAACCGAAAGGGCTTCAAAACCGAGCTTCGGCTGCTGTTTCCGATCGGAAGCGCCAGTATAACAAACATCAGGCAGCGAAGAAACCTGGCTAATAATAATCTCCCATATTAGCAAATCTTAAAAGGCTCTTTTAAGAGCACTCAGAACTCCCTGAAAGAGCCGATACAGGGATTGATTTGTTTTTTCAATAGTAAGAAAAAAAGGCCTGATGATTTTAATAAAGTGGTTGCACTGTTTTTACGTAGATCAGAACGGCAAACTCCCCCCCAAAAAACCCTAACGTTTTAAAAAGACGGTTGAATTATGCCCCGTAAATTCAAATTACCTACAAGTAAATTTGGGTGCGTTTGAAATCTGGGTAGGGGTCAGAATTTCAGATGTTTCATCTGTGAGGGGATTTTAATGGTTATTGCAAATACCTGTTCCGGGCAATTCCGGCATGAAAAAGCACTTTTAACACAAGTCATAATTTCGCTTTCAGGTACACTCGAGATCAATTTTATCGATGACCCGCGTCACTTCCTATGGGGAAGCGGCGATTCGCCTCCTGAATTCTAGTGTTGCTGTCCAGGAATAACTACACCGCACTGGGTGCAGCAATATGTTTAGTCACCCGACATTTTCACTTCCAGGAGGCAAGGATCGGTAATACTGTAATTCTGACATACAGCATTTGTCTTATGAGCTCCTTTCCATAAGGTCTCATTTTAAACTGTCCCCAGTCCAGCTCTTCCTAGAATCGTTTTTAACTGGCTCTGAGAAGAGCCCTTCACGTTTGTAATAGGTATGTAACTAGGCAACTTTTTCGCTCAGCACACCTTGGGGGGGGGCAACGGCTGAGCCAGACTCCGATATATTGTATCCTCACATAAAAATTTGGCAGCTTTAGCCCATCTAGTATTGGCACTTCCATCTCTCCGACAACAGAAGCGCTTGGGTATTTAAGCAGAAGTTGTATACAGTAGTAACTTCCCTTCAGTTTGTGAAGCTCCCAGTTATTCCGCAGCATCAGGTGGAAGGTGCCGCAGGCCCAGTGGACGCTTCGGTATCCCTGGCGACGTTGCTCGGCATGAAAATAACCTCCAGTCTTTCCGCTACTACAAAAACTTTCTACACCTATCTACCCAACACCCACGCCTTCCAGACAGAAGCCATGGTTTAAATACGTTGCGTTTCAACTGACTTTTATAAGTCCAGAAAAAAATGTAGCTTCCCTAAATATGACTGGTCCAGGCCTGTAAACCAATGGGAACCAGGGTCCTTTTTCATTCAATAAGAAATAAAATCCATGTCAGCCCAAGTGAGGCATTTCTGAGAAATACCAAATCAGTTTTGCAAACTGTTTAGAACAATGAACCAGTACAATAATTTGTTTATTCAGCTTTGGTTTTGGGAAATGTTGAAATTCTGAGTGGCAAGAAGTGGCGTGTGTGGCAGAGAATTTCCTCTTATCATAGCCTCTAATCCAGTGTGTGGCCAGAGAGAAGCCAAGACAGACAGACAGGAAGGAAGGAAGGGAGAATTAAAGTTATTGTAGGGTGTAAAGAAAGTCCTTTGAAAGGAAAGATTATAATGCTTGGGTCTGTTTAAAAGACCTAGTAAGGTGCCTTTCCAGAAGTGCATACAATTAGGCACGATGGAAAGGAGGCAGATAAATGTTCTCTCTGGCTAACTAACTAAAGTTAGAACTCAAGTGAGAAATTTATAACAGATGAAGTAATTCTTCACCTAACACATTCTACGGAATTTGCCATTATACTAGATTGTGATGGCTTTTGTTACTAGTTGATTTTTATCATTTTGCAGCAATACACATTTTACAGTGCTATGCATTCTCTGTTATCTATATGGAGTGGATCCTATTTGAGCCACTGTAAGTTGGTCCTGACTTGACAAGAAATAACAAGATCAAATCATGCCAAAACTCTCACTAGGAGCTAATGAGTACACTATTTTGGACACATCATGAAAAGATAAAACACAGTGGAGAAGACATTAATGCTAGCAAAAGTTCAAGGCAGTAGGAAAAGAGGAAGATTGAATTGTGAGATCAATTTACTTTAGAAAGACACAGCTTTTTGTTTGCAAGATCTGATGGAGCAGAACAGTTAATGATAGGATGTTTTAGAAGTGATTAAAGGGTTGCTAAGTCAGATGTGACTTGATGGCCCATAACAACAATAAATACAAAACTGCTGCTTTAGTTGTGGGAAGTATTACTATTCTTATTTCTTTATTCAGCTAATTTTGGCTTTCAAAACCTATATCTAAATCAGTCCCTCTTAACAGTGAGCTCAGGACAATAAACACAGAACCAAAACGAGGTCATTGGGAAACCTGCTTAAGGGTCGAGGATTCCAAGCTCCACAAATGAAAAATTTAAAACAACCCAAAAAACTATTCCACCCACCACAGTCAATTAAAGGAGGATTAGATACTGTATATGCAGCATATTATTGAGTGTTGACAAGAACAAAGCTTGAACAAATTACTGTTTCGGACTGCAGCTGTCAGATTCCCCAAACTGGCACAGCCATGGCCTTGTTGGCTGGCCTACTCTTGGCACTGGAATAAAAAAAAAAAAAAAAGGGGGGATAGCAGACGGGGAAAGAACATTGCAATGAGGAAAGGTAGCAGCATTGCAGACGATGTTAACAACTGCTACCCAGACACTAACATCCCCTTCATTGGCAAGCTAGTGGAGACAGTGGTGGCCAATCAGCTTCAGGCTCCTCTCCTAGATGAAACCAGTGCCCTCGATCCATTCCAGTCTGGGTTCAGGCCACATCATGGCATGGAGACATCATTGGTCGCCTTGCAAGATGACCTTTTCAGAAAGGCCAACAAGGGCAAAACATCCTTGTTGGACCTATCAGCGGCCTTTGATCCCGTCGCTCATGGTAGCCCCCTGGGGAGGCTGTCAGGGTTGGGAATCGGCAGTCTGGCCTTGGCCTGGCTCCGGTCCTTCCAGGAGGATCGTCCTCGGAGAGTTCAGCTTGGGGAGATGCTGTCGGCTCCGTGGACTCTCTATTGGGTCAATCATCTCCCCAAATGCTACAGTGGGGTCTTGACTTGAGAACTTAATCCGTATTGGAAGGCGATTCTCAAGTCAAAAAGTTCTCAGGTCAAATCTGCCTTTCCCATAGGAATGCATTGAAAACCATTTGATTCGTATCTGCTCTTTCCCGTCCATAGAAACTAATGGGAAGCTGCTATTCTGCCTTCGACCACTAGAGGGGGATATTTTGTCTCTTTTTTTCTTAGGTCAAGAAAGGTTCCGGGAAGGCAGGGAAAAGACAGTCCAGGCAGTCCAGTACCAGGCAGTCTGAAGACTGTCTTCCAATCCACTCTCTAAACGCTGGGAGGAGTGAGGAAGCAGACAGGCACCCTTTTCACTGGCCAACAGTTAACTGAAAGTTCAAATTTTGCACTTTCCCTGCCTCCCACATGGTTTTTTTTTCAGTTCTTAACTCAAATCTAAGTATGTAAATCAAGTCAATATTTTCCTATGAGAGTGGTTCTTAAGTCAAAATGTTCTTAACTCGAGCCGTTCTTAAGTCAAGACCCCACTGTATTTAATATCTATATGTGGCCACTGGGGGAAATCATCAAGAGTTTTGGAGATTCATGTCACCCATATGCGGTTGACACTCAGCTCTATCTCTCCTTCCACCCTTCTGCAGAGGATGCTGTCCCGTTCCTTGAGTACTACCTGGATGCGGTGCTGGGATAGATGAGGCTGAGCCCAGACAAGACAGAAATCCTGTGGTTGGGGGGGGCCCTAGTGATTGTGTTCTGGGTGCCTCCCTTCCCTTCAGGGGAGCCACACTTTCCACAAAGGATCATGTGCATAGCTTGGGTGTACTTCTGGACCCAGCGCTATCAATGGCATCACAGGTAACGTCTGTGGTCCGTTCTGCTTATTTCCACCTAAAGCGGGTCGCCCAGCTACGTCCCTGCCTTGACACTGGGTACCTCACCACACTGGTCCATGCGTTGGTAGTCTCGAGATTAGACTACTGCAATGCCCTGTACGTGGGGCTGCTCTTGGGACTGCTACGGAGACTGCAACGGGTCCAGAACGCGCCAGGTTACTGAGTGGGGTTAGAAAATACCAACACATTTCCCTCACCTTGGCTGCCTTACACTGGCTACCTGTTCACTTCTGTTTGCTTCAAGGTGATGGTATTAACCTATAAGGCCCTAAGCCAGCGATGGCGAACCTATGGCACGCGTGCCACAGCTGGCACACAGAGACCTCTCTGTGGGCACACAAGCCATAAGTCGCCATTGAGAAATACTTACCTGTCCTCTGATCCCAGATTTTGGCACTCCCCTCTGCTGGTGCAGTGGTCCAGCAGAGGAGTGTAATGTTGACCATTACTGGTCTAGCCCAATGGGGTATTGGAGGACCGGTAAGTATTTCTTTGTTAATACCGCCCATAGGAAAAACAAACAAACAAGCATTTAACCCATGCAGTGCAGGACCACTTGTTTTTTTTTCCTAAACTAAAACCTCAGTATTCAGGTTTTAATTGCAGTGTTGGCACTTTGAAATAAATAAGTTGATTTTGTGTTGCAGTTTGGGCACTTGGGCTCAAAAAAGGTTCACCATCACTGCCCTAAACAGTTCGGGACCTCAGTATCTAGCCATGTCTTCATGCTATTTATTTTATTGTATTTTATTATGTCTCCTATTGTATTTTATGGGATTTTGTTTTGCACTTTTAAATTTATTGATGTTGTTATATTTTGTGATTCCATTGTTCTTACTGTTTAGTTTGTTGTAAACCATCCAGAGCAGCCTCGGCTGCCAGATGGGCAGTATAGAAATTGATTGATTTTACTGTTTAGTTTGTTGCAAACCATCCAGAGCGGCCTCGGCTGCCAGATGCGCAGTATAGAAATTGATTGATCGGTTGATCGATCGATTGATTGATCGATCAATCAATCAATCAATCAATCAGAACAAAAACACTCCTTGGTACAAAGGGAAGATTGAGCATGCCACAGAACAATCATACATTACAGACTGCTGCTAGGTCATCTCTGGTCTTTTTACTGAATATTTATGTAATTTTCAAGGTATATATCAATGTATATGTATAAGTATAAGAAGAATTCAATCCCTCTATAATGTGTCTTGGTTTGGAATTTGGTGTCACAATCTCCTCTATGCCCTTTTAGTAGTATTGGGCACCCTGCTGTTCTTGGCTTTTTTTGTGGGATGGGGAGCCTTACGCCTGGGGCTTCTTTGTTCTTGAGGAGGAGACACATTTCTACTCTGGCAACATCTGATTTTGTTTGTACTGCGGGTTTCCCGGCCGTAGGGACTTCCCTGCTCTTTCGCTAAGGCTAGGACACTGCGGCTGGAGCACCTGGACTGTTCCGCAGTGATTTTGCAGACAGTGCTTCTTGCTCTCTTGGAAGAAGAAGGTACAGCCTGTCTTCTGCATTTTCTGGGACCTTCTGAACTAGAAGCAGCTTTCCTGTTTGATGAGTGGGGCCTTTTAGTCGGGAGCTGGGCTTTGCTGTTTGAAGGACTTGATCTTTTACTGGTAGAAGAGATACTCTGGAATCTCTTGGCAGAATTGCTTGAGCGGGCAGATTGTCTTGATTGCTTTTCTCTCGGTTGTAGTTTCTTGCCCGGGTTTTGGAGACTTCTTTGACCTTCTTGAGTCTTCTGCCCAGGACTCTTTGCAGGTTGGGCACCTCCCTTCATCTTGGGAGACATACTTCGTGTGGCTTTTCTTTTGTCCACTCCCTGGGCCTTCTCTGTCCCAACCTCCTCATCCGAGTTTCCAAATATTTCAGAAGCTTTTTCCGGATACTTTCTGACGACAAAAAACATGGACCCACTTTGGTGAGTCATCCGCACCAAGGCGCCTTTGGAAACCAAGGAATTCAGTTTTCTCTTGAGATCGGGACAGTGTCTGGTCACATCGTAACCTTTAGTACCAAGCATTTCCTTCAACTCGGCAAAAGTCAGCCCACTGTTTGACTCACGAGTGGCAAGAGCTCGGACGAGGAGCCTTGAGATATTAGGAAGGGACTCGGTAGACTTCAGGAACAGCAGATCTTTTTTCTTTTGCATTGATCTCGTAATTACCGTTGGTCCTTCCGTGAAACAAGTAACTCTTTTCTTATTTTGGCCAGGCACCTTTTTTCTGGGAAGAGGGGCCCGTGCATGGGTAGGTGTCATCAGCTCCTGTGCTCTCATTTCTATTCCTGGGGTTGCTGTCATCCTTTTCTCCCTTACTCACCCTCCAGAGCCTTGGCTGAGACTGCTTCCTGTAGCCACACTCTTAATTCTTTATAGATCAGAAGGTGACACAACGGAACCTACCTTAGTGGCTTCTCTTCCCGACAGCCAATCCCCTGCTTCCTTTCCATTCTTCAGAACCCACCCTTCATAGAACCTGCCCGGTCTGTTCTGCCACGTCTGTTCTGTCATAAGAGGAGCCCTACTGTGCACAGGTGCAGTGGAGAACAGTGTTCCTCTCCCTCATCATCACATCGTAGACCAGCAAAAGATGTTAAAAACAGATCTCAAATTTCTGTGTTTCAAGTTGCTTTTATAAGCCCTCACATCAGGCCCAGCTAGAAACATGGTAGAATGGCCTGGGAATCTTTTAGCCATGGGTCTCCTCCAGAGTTTAGTGAAGTTACATTTTAGGGACACAACTTCCAGTATCCTATTGGCCATGCTGGCAAGGGACTTCTTGGGGTTATAGTCCACATAAAGGAACATTTCTAAGCTTTGCCACAGAAGGCACACGTGTATGGGAATCTGATCTGTTCCCCATATCAAGGAATATCCACTTGCATAGGGCAAACACAGGGCATTTTATAGCTATTTTGCACAGAATGAGCTCAAAGTTGGCCTGAGATGATGAAGGTCCAGATGGCACACCTTTTCCCCTTTCACTTCACAGATGTAGAACTGGCTGAATCCTACTTCAACATTGGTGGTAGAGCAACATTCCCCATCTGCTGTTGAGGACAACAGGTTACATCTGTCCTCCAACTGAAAGGAATGGCTGAGGGGTTGTTTCTGCTGCCTGCTCCAGGCTATCCAGAATTCTCCATCTGAGGAGAAACCCTCACATTGTTTAATGGGAGATCCAACTCTGCTTTGTTTCAATGTTCCCCTGGAAGGAAAAGCATGGAAACCTTATTCTGTTGTCCATAATGAAGGGTGGTCAGTGTGCACATGGAAGGTGCACATTTTGTATCCTTGTGTGTTAATCAGTTCTCCTTTATTGTTTTCATGTTCTTTTAAATGTTTTATTTTTTTTTATTTTATTCATTATTAGCTCTATTCCTTGCACACAGTTATATCTTCATTCCACTTTCTCTCCCATGAGCTCAAGATGATCTGGTCCCTTCCCATTTTATCCTGACAACCATCTTGTAAGACAGGCCGACAAAGGCTGTTTTATGAATTTTATGGCTCATTTTTATTTAGAGCTCAGATTTCTCAAGTCCCAGCTCAAGATGTTTAACTCTTACATCACCTAAGCTCTTCTTTCTATAGCCTTGGTGCGTACATGTTGAACACATGTTGATTCTGTGCAGAAGAGCTAGATTTACACACTGAGACCAGAGATGGGGGCTGTGATCAAAAGCCTGAACCTGCCACCCATTTGGATGATAATGGCTGAAATCCTGTTTCACTTTTTCACAAATAGCGTAATAAACCTCTGTAGACAGTATATGTTGCATATTGAGTCGTGCAGCTCAACATACAAGAGACAATGCCTACAGAGATTTCTTAACTTACAGCAATTTGTGTCTAAAAGTTACACCGTTTGCATACATGTGCATCAGGAATTCAGCCATTGTTTGATCCATCACCTGATGAAGTGATGATAACAATTAATTAATAAATATGCTTGTCCCCTGATTATTCCACGGATTCATCCATAGGTTGCAGGAGGTCAATTTGCCTTATTCCTAAGAGTCATTTTGTCATCATAATACTGTTTGTGATGCCTTTATATTAGATTGTATTGCATGATTCCATTCATATCAGCTGAGCTACAGAAGCCTCAACCTTGTGAAGCTCTGGATTTTGTTAGGCTAGGTTAGATCCGGGATGTACAAAGGGAAGGGGGCTGCTCTATGTGAAAACACTCCTGGGCCAGGGAGGGTTCCTGCCATGGCTATTAGATTCGTTATATCAGCAGGCAAGCAGGGTAATGCCATTACAGCAGAGCATGAGGCCCCAAGTGGATTTGTGTTGCATGGTTGCCTAACTTGGAGGTTCAAGTAAGACTTTTAAGCCGGTGCCAGTGGTGTAGTGGATCCAGGGTTTGCAGGATTGAAGGTCTCAGACTTTCCCAGTGTCACGGACTATGGAATCACCTGCACCCTTCTTCGAGTCTTCCTTGTTACTTCCAAATTTAGCTGCAACCTTCATAGTTGCTGG